TCAAGTACTACAGAAAGCCAAAGTTTAACGATTAAATAAGAAAACTTATGTGTGTGCTTAATTGCCTGTCTTCACAGACACACTGAAAGGTGGGTGGGCTGAAATGCTGTCATTGGTAATCACCGCACTTCACTCATTAAGCCACCAAGGTTGTGTGACATTGATTCACGTGGGTTTCCACTCGGCTGGCTCCCGTGTGCTGCACAGGAGTCAGAGTTAGCCCTGCCCTGTGTCCGCCCCTCCACAGCAGCCCACTTTCACCTGTGCAGGACAGGCTGGAGCACCCTGCAGTAGAGTCGTGAAAAGTATCGCAGAAAAATAACACAACAATGTTAAGTCTTTGATCTTGTGGGGCCACATTACTAGCTTTTAGGGCGTGAGTCAGACATGCTTGTTCTGAAAGTCTCTGAGGTATTGAGATCTGATCTAAATTATGTGAGCTTTGAGGTATGATGGTAACAGGATGTGGTTATATTTGTTGTGCATTTGGAAATTAAAAAGCAAAATGGATGATATGTCAGTTTTTGCTGCATTAGATATCTCAATAGGAAACCTAATTCAAACTCAATTGTAAAAGAAGTAGGCTTGTTTGTCTCACATAAAGGAAGGTCCATCTCAGGACAGGATTCAGAATTGATTTGTATCCATCAGCCTTGTGTGCTCTCTCCTTTCTCTGAGGCTGGCTTCTCTCACGGTAGTAAAATGGATGCATCAGCTATAGAGTTCATTTTCTCAGATACCAGAAAAAGAGATATCTAGCCCCTGAAAGCTCTCTTTCTGAGAAGGAAAAGGTGTCTTCTATCAGAATTCCTCAACTGATTGTCCTTATAGCCCACTGGCCTGAACAGTATCACAAATGTATTGCTGATTCAGTTGCATTGTATTTCACTAAACAAACTACTGTGGCAAGAAAAACTGGATTACCATATTGGATGGGCCAGTGGGCAGAGATGTAGGTCATGGCAGCAGTACACGGGAAAGGGGTAGAAGGAATTTTGGCGAGGTTAACACAATGTATACTACCAACAAAAATTACATAATGATTGCTTTAGGAGGAAAATTTGCTCTTAATCTGTGATTATGTATAATGTTTTTAGAGACTTGTAGGCAAGTAGTAACCTCTTTGAGAATTTAAATCATGAAAGATTATATATTTTGTCTGCCGTCTTATTTTATTGTTTTATTTGTAGACTTTTTGGATTCCTCTGTGTGATAATCAGTCTTACTTGTCAACTTGATTGAAAGATTCAAGGAAATTCAGCCACTGACTGTGCTGTTAGGAGGTTGGGCCAAGTTGGAGATAGGCCTTTTCAGGGCATATCTGTTGTTGCTGCTCTTTTCTTTGTCTGTTTGTTGGCCACTCTGAAGTGAGCGGCTTTGCTACACCATGCTCCGCTGCCATGATGTCTGTGCCTTGGACCCAGCCAAGTCCACAGTGAAACCTCTGAAACACTGAGTCAAACTAAACCTCTCCTCCTTTGAGTTGCAGATATTGTGGATTTTCTCCTAGAGATAAGAAAGCTTACCAATAAATCAAATTGGTACCAGAGATGTGCGGCCATTGCTGTGACTATGCATGACCATCTATTCAGAAGCCTTTGGAAGTAATTTCTAGGAGGAATTTGGAAAATTTGGAGATGCAAGCATTGAGGGGTGATTTTGTTCAGAATTCAGAAGAGCAGAATACTGATGAGAATGTACACAATAAAGGCCAGGCTCCTGGGGTTTCATATGGGAATAAGTATTTGGAATTGGACCAGAGGCCATGCGTGGCACATGCTGTCAAAGAATTTGTCTACATTTTGTTCAGGCCCTAATACTTTCTGTGAGGTGGGGTTTAACAGTGACAGAATAATTGACCTGGTGAAGGAAGTTTCAGGGCAACTAAATGCTATGGCTGTGAATTGGGTACTGATGGCTACTTATACCTAGATTTATAATGAGAATTAATAGAAATAATCAGAGCAGAAAGATTTGAAAAACTTAAATTTTTGGCACCAAAAAAATGTGTAAATTTGGCTCCGAAGGTGGTATAATTGCTTAAGAACTTAGGACCAGTATAAAGACACAAACACAGTGTTTGGTACAGGTTCAAGAAGAAGGATACCGTAAGAGCATCTCAAGAATCAGCAAGCCCCCAGCCATTGCAGGCTTAAGAATGCAAAAGTGTAAAACTTACATTTGAGAAGTGAGCCCCTAGGCCTCTACTTGGAAAGGGATGCCTAAATAATTGGCCCTGACATTCATCTTACCTTGCTTAGCCATTCAGGCACTCAGAAACTACTGCGACCATGGCCCAGGAGAGGCTGCCTGCTGTTTGAGCTGATGGTAGACCCTGATATCATCTACATTATGCTGGTTCTCTGGGCATATATAATACAAGAATTGTTGGGTAGCAGAGCCTTTCACTTTCAAAGGAAGAGGCCATGAAATGTTCCCCTGAGATGTGGATGCGTGAAACTGTGAGTGTAAATCCAAAGGTGTAGCAGAGATCCCGGGATGTTGCATATGCCAGGAGTGAAACCGCTGCTAAGGAAAACTGCTGGCAACCACCAGGGCCGGCACAAAAGAAAGGCCGTTTTGGCTCCACTCAGCAAGGCCACAATGATAGGGCCTCCCAGTCCACCTGGAAATTACATCTCACCCCCTTGTTCTTCGTAATGGACATGGAGCTGTAGATTTAATGATGGCCCTACTGGGTTTTGGCCTTGCTTCGGTCCATTTCCTTTCTGTCTCTCTATTCCTCCTGTTTGGCATGGGAGTGTTGATTATACCATTGTATATTAGGAATATGTAACATGTCGTTTTAATTGTATAATGCAAAAGGCAGTGATGGTGAACCTTTTAGAGTTTTCATTGATAACAAACAGCGGGCTGTCCCACGTGTGCCATAGGTTTGCCAGCCCTGTCATAGGGCTTCAAAGGTAAGACGTAAGGGCTTCACCTTACGTCTCAGTGGAGACTTGCACCTGGACTTTTGAGCAATATTGGAACAATGTTGGATCCAAGTTTGAGACTTTGGAGAGGGAAATGTGCATTTTCAGCTGTGCACAGGGTAGCTTTATGATGTTTGGTTGAGTTATGGTAGCATATTTATTTGGAGATTTAGTATGGTTTAAGCAGATGTGATTAGATATCAGTTTGACAAAGGGTGAATTTTCCCAGGTGAGTCTTGTTAACTCAACTGAATAATAGTCCTGAAGAAGTGATTAGACTATGTAGGCACTGTCCTAGCCAGTGGTTGAATGCATCGACGTTCCCAGCTGGGTGTGCTGTTTGCAGATGGAGCCCAGTTGGAGGAAGTGGGCCACTGAGACCATGCTGTTGCAGGATTTATTTCTTGCTGTTGCTCTCAAACTCAGAGCGCTTTATGCATGTGAGTTAGACCTGGCACATATTCTCAAATAAAGCAGTGTGCTAACTGATCATAGCAGCAGTCACGGAAGGAAGGCCGTGGGCCTGCTTTTACTTGTGTGAGAGGACAGAGGGGTAAAGCCCTCTCCAAGTCCTGCAAACTTCATGCTCGGCTCATTAGTTTGCACTTCTTTGTCAACAGACAAAAATGATAGAGTAGAAGGAAGGGCTCAGACAAGCAGAGTACGACTGTAGTGACTGATTGTTTTCACAGAAGCACTAAAGTGCAATGTAAAAATTCTGGAAAGGACCTACAATTAACACAAGTTCAAGTTCTGCTGCTCATTGGTCATGGGACTTCCAGTAGGTAAACTCCCTGGAGCCTTGGCTCCTTCACCTGGAGCAGATGATGCCAGTTTATTCTTATCATCTCCTGGGAGCATGGCAAAAACCAAATGATAGAGTATAGGAAAGCACTTTAAAACCGGCAGAGTAATCTGTAGTGCTTGACTAAAGAGAAATAGCTGATTTTAATATTGAAGGAGATTGAAAGTCTACCGTGTTTCTTTAAAATAATGACGCACACAACACTACAGAAATTGTAATTGGTTAGATGGCTACAAATGTACTATTTCAGATGGATTCGAAGTCGTATCTTTCAGGTGTTCAGGTCACAAAAACTAACCAACCATTTTAGGTAAGGGTGAGCATTTATTGGCTCATAAAATTAATAGGAACCTAAAGAATGCTATATGGAAAAGGGCTAGGAAAGAAGAGAGCTGCTCAGAATTCACAGCTGGGTCATATGCTGGTGTTCTTGGGGAGACAGCCACCTCCAGGGACCCCCATGTGACTGTGATACCTGTTCACAATTCAACTTCCAGGTGCCCAAATCGTGTCCATTGAGGGCTGCATTAAAAGGAAGGTCAAGATTCTAATAAAACAAGGGGAATGGGCACCAAAAGAGAAAACTGCAAATTCTCCACATATCCTCAGTTTTGTTGATTGTTCTTTCTATTCACAGCTATTTTCTACTGGAAATTTATTAGTCTAGAAACAGGTTTCTGTTATACCTTTAAATAAAATTATTCGAATCAAAGGCACTCATTTATTTTGAAAGCTCTAATACAGCCAAAGAAGCCCCAGAAGGAGTATTTTAGGATGACAGATTTTGAGATGCTACTTGATAGTTGTGATTGTATGTTGTCAAAACTGGGAAGATCATTGATTGTTGTGTTTTTCCCTTAAAAAGGGAAACTTTTGAAGTAAAGGAAACTACTTATATTACTGCAGTTTGGATTAACAGTTGTTAGGAATGAGAAGTACGATTTGCTCTAGGTTAACATGACCTAAATTTACAAATACAGAACATAAAGCTGCCACTTGTTCAATAATGTTATGCAGTTTATAATTTCATGTTGGCAATAATTCTTTTAGAGCATCTTCCAAAAACATGGGGTTGTCCATAACTGTGGCCCTGGACAGACCATGGAGGGCTCTCCAAGGCGCACAGCTGACCTTTCTGACCTCACTCACTCCCTCACAGTTGCATTTCTGTCTTCCAGTATAAAAATTCTAAAGATTTTCTGAATATGTAAAACTATATACAGAATGAAACATTCTCATGTATATTTATATATTCATGTGATACATAAATAATCAAAATTTGACTTTAATTTCTTGCCCAGAGCTTAATTTTCCAAATCTGTTCTTTATTGCAGTTATTTTGACATTCAAGTGAAGTTATTTCTGTTCAAAAATAAATGTTGTAGGTGAACTCTCTCGGGACCTATGGAAGAAGGAGATGAAGGACATTGGCAAAAGCATAGTTTTTGTGTGGAAAATATTAAATAATTTTTTTCTTACTCATGTTTCTGTTTTTGCTTAAAAGGTTTCGCTAATTAAAGTTTATCATAACAGTACCTCTTAATAATGTATAGCAGTAACTAGGACCTCCTCGTGCTTTCTTTTATTTTTAACCCTTACCCAAAGCAAATCTCAGTAAAACCTGATTAACCCACCCATTTGCTGACTTTTCCTACCAACTTTTTCAGAATGATATAAAACCCCTCTATGTTTTAGGTAAAATATGCAAACAGATTTGTTCCTTCATTCCACAAACATGCCTGTGTTTCTTGTGTGTGAACACTGTTCCAGGTGCTGGCCGTGCCTTATGATATCCAGGCAAGACCAACAAGTTCTTGTTCTCACCAAATCTACCTTGCTACAAAAGGAGGAGGTAGATAAACAATTTCAGGAGGAAACATTCGGCAGTAGCCAGTGCCATGGTGATAATGAAGCAGGGGATTGCTGGGAGGATGCTTTGGGTTAAGGGACATTAAGTGTATCTGAAAGGGCTGACCTTCTGTGATGTGTTCCGAGTCACAGGGAGGGGCCCCCACGCAAGGTCAGAGGCACAGTCTAAGTGGCAGTGCGTGTGACATTCTCAAAGACTGGAAGGAGAAGAGTGTGAGGAGGGAGGGCAAGAGCAGTCGAGGACTCCCCAGTAGGAGGGGCCCTGCTAACCCATGTGAGTTCACGTAAGCCAGGGAAGACCTGAAATTTTTATTCTGAGTGACCTCTAAGGATTTTAAGACAAACAGTGAGATGAAATTCCTCAGGTTTTTAAAACTACTTCTGTGGCTGCAGCAGGAATTGATGATGATAAGTCAAGAGTAAAGACAAAGGTGTAAAAGGCCACTGTAGTTATTCAAGTGAGTGGTCAGCAGCTTTGGTGCCATCACTGGTAGCAAAGACAAAGAGATACGTTTCCAATGTATTTTGTAGGTAAAGCAAAGACTTTGCTAATGCAGTGGGCTTGGGAGATAGAAGATTAGAAGATGAGAGGCATCTTAGAAAGAACTATGAGTGGAAGAAGAGGAAAACAAGAAGAAAGCATTGAAGATGGAGGCGGAAAGCATGTGTCATCACAGAAGCCAAGGAAAAATAGAAAGTGTTTGAAAAAGAAGAGGAAGTGTAAGCTGTGAGATCCCCTAAGATACTTAGATAACAAAAGAGAACATTATATTTGCTAGTGTAGAAGTAAGTTAGGCGAAAATGCAATTGGGGGGGGTGGAAGAGACAAGAATGAACATAGATCTCTTGGATTTTGCTGGGAAGAAAAGCGTTTGAGGTCAAGATAGTCAATGCCACTGTTGCTTTGTGATCAGTGATATTGAAGCACTTTTGTATTCTCCTAAGAAGAAATGAGACGATGGAAACTGTATGCAGGAAATTGACGGAATAATTTGTAGAAACCGTAGCCTGATTGCAAAAGGCTTTACTGAATACCTGACGGGTCGCCTTTGAGAGAAACAAGCGCATTCCATCCATTGTAACGAACAGGCCGTAATGAGGGCTAGGACTTCCGGCTGTGGTAGATATTGAAAATTGATTTAAATGATACATGTGTGGAAGAAATGCTGCAATCAGTGAGCCAGAAGGATGGGAAATAGAAATCTTACAGTGAGCCGAGAGGGTGGGTTAAGTGGGGTTTGTGAAAGTTAGGGTTAGAGAGGAACATTATTTATATTGAAGGCTTTTAATGTATAAATTAGCTGTATTGGGCAGTCCCTTCTTGCAGTGGTGGATAGTTGAGAAGCAGATATAAAAGCAAGCTCTTCTGAAGACATCTTGGCTTCTGCGCCAAGGAGGAACTGAAAACAGGTGAAAGAGAGAGAGAGAGAGCGGAAATGCACCATATTTCTCGGTCATCTGCTGTGTGATAGTCACTTCAGTATTTTTGTTCTCAGAGCAGGCCAAAGAGGTTTTGTTGCCCACATTTTAAATCTAAGTGCAACGAAGTTAAAGAATTTACAAAGGTTACAGAATTGGAAAATGGCGGCACCCGGCCAATACAGATTTCAGTGGACAGTACTTCAAGTTCCAGGTTTTCATTCTAGCCATCTAAGGAAAGACCTGAAATTTAGCATGTGACTAGACTCCGTGAAAGAGCAAGAAGGCAGAATCGTGGATGAGAAGATTTTCATCCTTGAGAACTAGGAAAATTCTACCTTTAAACATGGAAAGGAGCTGCTGTGTAGAAAAACAGGACAAACTACTTTCAGTGCCAAGTACAAGATTTCAGCCAGCCGTTTTCATAGATTCCAAAGCTAGTGAGCGATGAAGGCCTGCTCCAGAATTCAGTGTTTCCAGCTGATGAGGTATAAGAGTTCCCCCAAAAAACCCTCTAAATTCATGACATGTTTTTAAAAAAACTTAAAAGATCTAGTGAGATCCGTATCCCCAGTTAACGATTTTAGAGGGAACCGCACAGCAGCCAGACTCCTCACGGTGCTCCTTCAGCCTGCTGCCCGTGCCGCCTGCGCTGGCTTCTGCCCTGAAACCGCAGGACCTGCCCAGCTCCTGTAGACACCTGAACTTACAGCCCGGTGTGGGTTGTCATTCTCCCGTCACTGAAAGAACTTGAGCTGCTTCTGTGTGCCGTGTGTGCTTGCTGTTCCCACGGAAAAGAGCTGAGCACGTGACGCGCCCTTCGGCGTGGAAGGAGCCGGTGCCATCAGGTGTGTTCTGACTGAGGGTGAAGAGAGGTGTTCTGGAAACAGGAGCGTCCTTGCTGAGGAACGTCGTTGACCTGAGACTTGAGGATGAGGGAGAGCTCCTAGGACAGGCATGAGCAGTATTTCTAGGGTGTGAGTGAAGCATGCTTAAGGAACCGAGGTGAGGGTTCAGTAATATTTAAATATAGCATGCAAGAGAGGGAATGAGGCTGGAGAGATTGTGCGGTAAAATAGGGAGTTTGAATTTTTACCCTGAAATCTGTGAAAGTTTACTTGAAGGTCTCTCTTGGGCGAGTGAGATCAGATATGTATTTTAGAAAGTAAATTAGGGCTTCACCGAGAATAGGTGGTAAAGTGGTCAAGCCAGAGGCAAAGAGACCAGACACATGGAGCTTGGAAGAATCTGTGAGAAGCTGACGAATGATGGCCAGGCCCAGGGTGATGACCTTGAAGATGGGAACAAGGACGCCACCTAGAGGTGTTTGATGTCTGCGGAATAAAATGGGGTTAGGTGGCTCCCAAGTTTCTGCTTGAGGATGTAGAAGGAAGGCAGAGAATCCGGGAAATTGGAACCCAGTTGAGGAGAGCAGCAAAGGAGTTGGCACAAAGGCAGGTGCAGTGTACACCACGCTGAGGAGCAATCCTTCCAGACCGCAGCCAGCCACACCAGGCACAGAAGAGTCTCCCTAGAATAAAATGCAGACTAGAAATTTATTCTGGGAACTTCGGATTTGGAAGTAAAATTCATAGCCTTTGTAACATAGCTGTTTCAATATTTGGGGAAAATTAAAAAGAAATTTATAGGATACTACATGTAAAACTGAAGCAAATTTTTAAAAACATTTTATGAGTCAAGGAAAATTGATCATATTAATCATAAACTCATGCTAATCCTAAAATCATAATAATGTGCACACACAAACACACATTAATGTCATCACTGCAAAATTGTTGTAAATAATATTGGGAAGGTGAAGTGAAAGAGATCCATGGTAGTCATAGTGGTAAAAACTTACACAAATGTCCAACTGTCATAATATGAAATAGACAATTTCTACAGCGGATAAAACAAGTACAAATATAGGTACATTCTTTAAAAATAAATGGGAAAGTAGAAGTAGTAGCTAAAAGAGCTGACAGTAATTGGCTGTGGAAAGGGATTGTAGCATAAGAAAAAGACTGGCATAATGTTAAATATAAAATGAGTAAAACTAACTAAATTGGGCTAGAAGAAAAAAGACACTAGGATTAAACCTTTGGTAGATCTGACCAAATGTGACCACATTACATCTTTGCTCTGGAAAATGAACCATAAGACTCACTGACAGAAGTGGATGTCCAGTGGCCAAGTGCATTGTCATGCATTCTTCGAGCAGATTACCCAACATGAAGTATAAAAATAGAACTTCATAGAGGTGTGTCAGTCTCTGTTCTCTGCTGTCGTCACTGGTTCTAATAATCATCACCTGATTAGAATGTGTTTTAAAATTACTCACCTTTGGCCCAGTCCATAACGTGTGGCTTGACAGTTTGTTAAACTCTAGAGAAATAATCCTGTTAATTCCTGACAGGATGACATCATTCTAGCGGTGAGTCCACATTGTTTCCTTCAGTGTAATGGCTCCTCCCCTTTATAACCCCTTCAGGATCCCCTCCTTGACCAAAGAGTTCTGGGGAGTCAGAATGGCCTAAGCTTTTCACTGGATATCACATGACTTCTGTGATGGTGAGGCTGACTTCCCATACAGTTGCTGTCATGGAAAAATCATCATGTGAACATTTGCTTCCAAAGCCTAGTAAAGCTATGTGAGGGTATGATTCAGGATCACACATATGCTACGCCTTTCTATATTGGGCTTCAGCTAAAAGATTTCCAAGATAGAAACATGAATGTTAACAGAGGCAAGTGCAAAATCTGAATTGTGAAGATTTTTTTTAAAACTTTGTTCACGCCATTCTCTTGTTAGAGATACTGTGACAGAAAGTTTAAGAGACCCTGGGTTAGATCTCAGAGATAGCAAAGAGTCTTCAGGTGCTGAAAAATTGTGGGAAAGAAGAGAAAGAAAGGAAATAAATGACGAATAATGTACACTAGAGAGTTAGAGCCAGCTGATCTTGAACTTGAATCTCAGGTTGGAGAAGGTCCTCAGCCTTGAGCTCTCCCTGTGTGAACGGAGATGATGGCTTCTACCTTAACCCTTGCAGGGTAGTTCTGTCTGCCTTTCATTTTTGTCATTGGTTAGCTTTGTAGCAAGTTGTCTTCCGTGCTCTGGACCAAGCCCCACAGTGGGTGTGAAGTGTGAGCCCGCAGCTAACCCTTCAGAGAAATGCCGGGTACTGCTGTGAGCCACAGGGTCGTGAAGCACACAGGAAAGTTGACATTTTTCTATAAGTTGAGAAACAAGACTCCCACAGTCCGGGAAAGAAATTATCTTCTTTTCTACATCAACAGATATTTTTGCCTGTATTTATTCCTTCAAAGTTGGTGTGGAAATCAAATTTTCATAAATTCTAGACTAATCTGTCCTTCTGCACAAAGAAGTAGTTGTTTCTCAGTGAACCTGAAACATCAGAGTTAAATCTTGAGCAGTTGGAGATTACAGGAAAAACCAATATTCTCTCTCTTGAAAACTATTTTTGCTGTTTCTTGCTTTTCTAGTAATAATGTGGCCAGGCTGTTAGATTTTCATTTTCCTCTGTGTGTATTCATGTGCGCGCGCGCGCGTGTGTGTGTGTGTGTGTGTGTGCATGCCTCTGTGTGTGTGTGTGTGTGTGTGTGTGTGTGTGTGTGTGTATGACATTTATTGCCCTGGGAAGTTAGGTTTCCTGAGTTTTTTTGTCGGGAGGGGTCCTTGCACTTGCGAGGCAGGCAGCCGAACCACTAAGCTAAATCCCTGGCATTGTTTTTTTTTTAATTGTAAATGAATGAATTAAAGGGTTTCTTTTCCTTTTTGAGATGGCAATAAGGTTAATTATGTTGGATTTAATTCCCATGACCTTAATGGAGTCTTTTCTGTGTACCAGTGGTCTTTGATTGGAATAAAGCTTCCTCTTTGTTCTAAATAATTAAGAGTTGGCTACATGAAAGCTTGTAAGATCCATTCACCACATAAATGTGCTCATTAGCATTAAAAACAGTTGTTTCTGTCATTGCCAGTGATGTGCCGCCATTGGCCTGGAGAGAAACCTGAGCGATAGAACAGGGAGGGCCTTGGCTGACAGTGGAGGACGCTAACAGGCCAAACTTGGAGCTCTAGAAGAAAAAGTCACAGAAACCAAGGGAGAGGAGAGAAGTCGAAGGAGGAGGTACTACCATTGTCCGAGGGAATAAGGATGGCACATTAGGCAAGAGCTGGCTCCGTTAAAAGTACAGCGTTAAGTTCCGTTTGTGACTTTCCATCCTTTTCCCTTATTGTCCATCTTTTGTGCCTCCCACAACCGTAGGTACAGTTCTTCTGTTGTACTTACTGAATTTACGGTGATTCTTCACATAATACCTATTCATATGGCCTGTTTGCTCTGTTCCAAGGAAGCAGGGATAAGATACAACGTGCTGTATGCCTGCCTTCTCCCAGAACCTGGAACCTGGTCTCCTTAGTGTTTGCTTGAACAGGATTGAGCACTGTGCTCAGTTCAAGGCTGGATTCTCATGATATATTATGCAGAAAATTTAATCTAACTTTGTAAAAGTGGATTATGAAAATGTATATACAAGATTATATGAAAGCCCAATTAAACTTTATATGAAAACTCATTTTTTCCTGACTAGTCGGGGAAGTCATTTGGCAGGAAGTTATGGCTAAACGCAAGACAAGATCACAAATGCATTGGGTTTTAAAGTGAGAAATTGAGCCTTAGGGAAAATGGAATTTGTTCAGCAACCTCGATAGTCATAGCTTAAAATTCAGATCCAAGTCTGTATGACTGCAGATTTTGTGATCTATCTATTATTACTACCATTGGCAGACAAACTTCTGTTATAACCTAGGGCAGCTTGTCCATGCGTCACTAACCTGGGCACAGCCGGTGTCCGAAGCTGGACCTTCACTTACCACGTCTGGACCGGCGCGTAGGAAGACAAATAGCAAAAATCAGCTCTGCACCAGTGTGAAGTCTAGAGATATATGATTCGGTTCAATTGTTCATGCATCGTATTGATTGTTCCTTGTAGATAAAACGAGTATTTTCATCAAATATATTCCGTTAATGGAAATTATTACCAACTTAAGTACTTACTTAAAAAGTCTTTAAAAATCCTCCGGATTATACCTTCACAGGCACACACATATACAGTCTTTCTTAAGTTTCATAAAAATATTAGAAATCTATCTCAAATATCAAATATCCGGAAACATTTCGGCAGGATCAAAATGAAGAGTAAACATGTACTCTTCCATCAGCTCACTCTCTCTTTTCTCTCCTCTCTCTTTTTCTTTTCTCACTTCCTTTCTTCCTTCCTTTTTTTCTGCATATTAACTTGCTACCATCAAGTAATATTAATATTTTCACTTTAAACTTTAAATGAATGCAAATTATGACTGAATAGAATAAGCACAGCATAGGTACGGCAGTGTGTTGTTACGTCTGATATATTCAAGCAACACTTGTTCTTCCAAATAAGTCAGACATATGCTACTAAGACAATGACAAATGCTAAAATAGCCTTGCTGTTCCAAAGGGGAAAATGATTCAGCAGCATCTTTGTACAGATTGTTGCTGGAAAGATCTGTATTTTAAAAACAACAGCAGTGATGCTTATTGTGTTCTATGATAAAATGCCTGGTATTTATTGTAGCTGCCATCTTTCTTTAGGAGATAAAGGAGCTCTTTCTTCTCTGTCCTGCTGCACTGTTCTAGAGAGAACTGTAATTGTTCCCTTCTCCTAGAGCTTGAATCTTCTCTGCTGCTGTGAGCATTTCCCCAGCCCACGCCTACCACGCCTACCCTGTGCCACCCCTCCTACCAGTGACTCCAGAGTCTTGTTCAACTCTGGATCTTCCCTTTATCTGTACACTTCATGCGTTTCCCATGTCCAGGTTATACTCCTCTTAGCCCTCATTATTTCATCTGGATATTTTCTGTCTGCTTCTGGTTACAAGTACCACTTGCTTCTCAGAAACAGAAATCCAAATGAGTTCTTTCTCTGTTATGGACCTTTCAGCTGTAAAATTTCACGTGAGGGTATAACGCCAAATCATTTGAAAGGCACACAAACATCCACTCATTCCAGTTCTCCAAATGAAAGGCAAAGTCTAGGAAGTTTTGTTCTGCAGTAAAATGTACTTTACAAATCCCCCGCTCTGCTGTAGTAGCTATGTACAATGTACTGCACCGCTTTTGCTCTGTATTTATAACTATCCCTAGACTTAATACTTGAGGAAAGAAATTCTGTAAAATTTACCCTTAAGTCTTGTCATTGTGCCACTGAACAGGTGGTCAAGAGGTGCTCAGTGGAGTCCAGGAAGATGAGAAATGAGGAAGAAAAAGGAAAAAGGAGAGAGGCAGGGGGAAGAGAGAAGGAGGGAGAGAGACAGACAGAGACGGGGTGGGGAGAGAGGAGGGAGCAGGGAGGATGGAGGAAGGGAAGGAAAGGGGAGGAAGGGAATATCATTAGAAGCTTGCAATTTCACCAAGGGTATAAAGAAGACCATTTTTCACTGCATTATTTCTGAGAATTGGCGTTTTGCTAACTAAAGATAACTATTAACGTTTGTATTACACCAAAGAATTTTAAAACATTTTATGGCAATGTGCACAAAATAATTATGCCTTTGAAATAGCTTTCAAACACACTGGAAAATGCTACTGCCTGGACATGTTTTAACGGAATCAAAGGAAGAACTTCTCCGTAAGCAGCCATTCAGGGATCCGGGCCCACAGACGGCCAGCCTTTTCCCCAGTGACACACGAGTGCACACACGTGGCACCCACAACTTCTCTTGCTGAATATTTACGATCATACATGAAACTTTTCCAGGCCAGTGTTTTTTTCCTTTCAAAATTCATGCAACTAGTATTTGTTTCTTGAGGTAGAAAACCTACCATATTTATTATTTTTTCACGACATAGTCCTTCACATCCATGATTCTTGTGTACAATCCTTAGTTTTCCAAGGCTGAGTATAAAAATGCTGACAGAGGTAATCTAAACTAAGGTAGTTTGCATGTAGGTGAGCACTTCGGGGTTAGCTACGTTCTCTCACATATTTTCAGTCACCGAAAGTCCTTACTGCAGTAGACAATCACTACGGAAGCCACATGAACGAGAGGAGCCTAAGGCAGTCGTGAAAGGTGAACATCCGCGTCTCAAAAGACATAAGAATGTTACCAAGGCACCCAGGTGGAGCACGTAAACTGACTGGAAGATGGACAGTTGTGAGCATGGAGAAAGAAAGGGCAGATGGGGTGGAGGAGAGGAGACGGAGGCGGGGAACACTGCACACCCGGCTGGCATTAGAGCACAGCAGGCACAGAAACCCACAGATGTGCTCGTGTAGGGCAGCACAGGGAGAAACCTGAGGAGGGCGAGGCGCAGGGGACCAGGGACGGGGGAGTGGCAAGATGAGGTGGGGAGGCCAAGGGCCACGAGAGTCCTGTTAAAGAAACTGGACTTCTTCCTAGAGAGCACAGGGCCATCGAAAAACCATGAGCCACAGTTGGGTTTCATCACAGTTTTTTTTCCTTTTTAGAAATAACAAGTCACTACTTCCTGTCACAGCAGTTGTTAACCTGGTTTAGAGCCAAGCCTAGATCTTATGTATGTGGTTGGCAAGTTCTCTGAAACTGGATGCAAGTGTGTATATTTGTGTATGCATAGCTGTGTGTGCACAGTGTGTGTGTGTGCGTGCGCGCGCGTGCCCTCATAACCGAGTATCTGTAATCATAACTCAAATGTTTCTTAAAATGATCATCCAAATACTTCTTTAGCATGAAGCCCAGACCCTTAGAACCCTTCACTTTCTAAATAAAATCTGTCGATTTCCTTACACACAATGTAGAACATCGCTACTTGTAACTGTTGGCCATTTCTGATGGACCTCCTGGTAGAGCTCGTCTGTCTGCCCCACTCTTCCTACTCAACCTGGTTTCCCCATCCCACCTTCAACTCAGGAAGCCCCCGCTCACCAGAAACCTGGTTTAACTGTTTCTTCATTCTCCAGGATCCTCTCATATTCCTTCCTCATTCTCTGGTGTGAGCACAAATCGGTCACAGAATTCTGTGACCCAGCTAGAATGAAAGACAAACAGAAAAGTAGATCATTGGACCAGAAACAGAATGTCCAGAAACTGACCCACACTTATGTGGAAATCACGTGGACCATGAACTTGCATTGCAAATCAATGCAGAAATAATGGACTATTTCCGAATGGCACTGGAACAATGGACCATCTATGAGGGAAGAGAATAGATCCTTACTTCATTCACAGAATACATCCAGATGGGTCAAATGAAAGCACTGAAACTTTTAGCAGAAAAGAAATAGAATGATATCCGAGCAAATTAAAGCTGAAAGATACATTTACCATAAAAGACTCCTTATTAAAAGATATCATAAAAATTCAGAAATTGGCCATATATTGTGAAAACTGTTAAAGAATTAGTATCCAGACTATGTGACAAATTCTGTAAAATAAATGAAACAAGGAAAACTGTTCAACTTTATTATTAATTGGGGGGGAATTGTAACCATTTTACAACCCAGACAGATTGGCAAAAGAATTAAATAGACTATAAAGACCACATTTTGGAAGCAGTATGGGAAAATACAAATTCTTATCCTTGTGGATGAGAATTTAAATTATTAGGGCCATTTGAGAAAACATTTTCTGTTTCCTGGTAAATTTGATCGTATATGTGCCTACTCCAAGAAATTTTTCCATACTTGCACTAGCAGATGTAAGGATATTCTTAGCATTTTTGTGACAAAAAAATGGGGAACAGATAAGAACAGTGTATGAAAGTTGTGTAATATAGACATCAACATGAAGTAATGTTTGTTTTTGGTTTTTGTGGGGGGGGTGTTTTTTTGTTTTGTTTTGAGACAGGGTCTCACTATGTAGTTGAGACTGACCTGGAACTCACTATGTAGCCCAGGCTGCTCTTGAACTCACAGCTATCCTCCTGCCTCAGCCTCCCAAGTACTGGGATTACAGGCGTGCGCCACCACGCCCGACAATGTGTAGTAATGTTAATAAGATAATATTAATTAAAAAACGGAAGTTTAAAAGAAAGCATAGCATATTATTCAGTTCACCTAAAAGTAAATCTGAACTGTTGTTTACAACATATTAGTAGAGCTGTGATAAAACTCTAGACAAAAATTAGGAAATGAGAAAAATAAAACTCAAGAAATGGATTGTCTGTCCATTAGGAATTAGTAGGAGACAGAAGGAAAAAATAAGTAGTATGAGGACTGAAAAACATGCTTTTTTTTTTTTTTTTTTGGTACCAGGGATCGAACTCAGGTCCTTGTGCTTGCAAGGCAGGCAATAGAAACGCTAAGCTAAATCCCCGGCCCTATTATCATAATTTTAAAAGAAAATTTAAATGATGTACACTCCTCTGTTTGTGTATTTCATGAGAAAAACATTTTAAAAGACAAAAAAAATCATATATAGACTATAACCACAAAAAACCCTACCCTATGATATAGGTTATAACCACAAAAGAAAACCACCATATGATATAGACTATAACCATTATTGCTGTCCTTGAACCATGCTTATCTCAGCATCTCTAGAATTATTTCAGCGTCTCTGTTATTTGGCCTTCAAGGGTCATTCTGAGGAGCTCTTTTCTGTATTTTCACTTTCCTTCTACATTCTTTTGGCTAATGTTTCCTTTTTTTTTTTTTTTTTTGTCCTTATAAACTGCATATTCAGCTCATTTGTTTTCAGCTTTTTATCTTTTGTGATAAAAAGCTACAAATTTTTTACCAGTTATTCTATTTATATTTTTTCATTTTAATGTATAATATTTAACTTACTTGTATTTTGTGATTTTTATTTTGATTTGTTCTTTAACACATGAGTTATTAAATGTTGCTTTTCAGATATATATATATCTGTGTATATATATAGATATATCTATATATATATATATATTAAATGTTGCTTTTCAGATATATATATCTGTGTATATATATAGATATATCTATATATATATATTTAATGTTGCTTTTTAGATATATATATATATATTGCTATATATATAAATATATATATGTTTTTTAAATTATTGTTGGTTAAAAATTTATGACTCAATTGTATTATTGGCAATAGGTGATCTTTTTCTTATTAGTTCTATGAAATTTGTTACGAATTCCTTTATGTATGTCTTAGTCACTTTCTCATTGCTAGTACACAATACAAGACACCCACAGTTTAAAAGAAGGAGAGGTTCACCTTGGCTGACAGTTTCAGAAGCTTTGGTCTCTGTTCAGCAGATTTAAACACACAGTAAGCATGGAGGTCCTGGGCGGAAAAGTACAGCTCACATCATGGTGGCCAGGAAGCAGAGAGAGAAGGGAGGAGCCAGGGAAGGAGATCTACTTCCAGGTCATGCCCACTTCTGACCAGACCCCACCTCCTAAAATGAAGTCAGTTGTAGAACCCCCATAATCTAATACTTTCTTAAGGCCCCATTTGTGAGGACACAAAAAGACTCTGGGGGACATCCTAGATCAGTGATGGTGAACTTTTTAAAGCTTGCAGTGACTCAACAAGCCCACTGTGGCACCTGTGCCATAGGTTTTGTGCCACTGTCCTAGACCTAAATCATGACGCCATACTTATATAGAAATCACACATGCAGCAGATTTGCTTAGCAAATCAAGTTTAAGAAAAAAAAGAACTAATTTCACATAACACAAGATGGAAATGAACACCAAAAGAAATCACAAAATATAACTGCTTTTGTTGTAGTACTCCATAGATCTTGGTATATTGTGTTTCCTTTATCATTTGACTGTAGGAGTTTTTAAATTCCTCCCTGATTTCTTCTTTGAACCTTTGATCATTAAAGAGTGTATTATTCATTCTCAATGTGTTTGTGTAGTTTCTGTGCTTTCTTTTGCTGTTATCTCTAGCTTCATTCCTATCTGATAAGTTGCATGAAATTAGTTCAGTTCTTTTTTATTTGTTGAGCTCTTTATGGTCTAACCTAATGTATGGTCTATTTTAAGAAAGTCTTGTGGCCTGCTAAGAAGAATGTTTATTCTGCTGTTGTTGGATGAAAAATTGTAGATATTTGTTGAATGCATTTGATCAGTACTATCATTAACTTTAATTTTTTGTTGATATTTTTTCCTGTTGATATTTTTCCGATCTAGTAGTGATAGTGTGTTATGTGTCTCCACTATGAATTTACTGGTAGACATATTCTTTTCTGAGAAGTAGTATTTATTTTGTAAAATCAGGTCTACTGGCTTTCAGTATATACCAGTGTATATTTACAGTTCTTACCTATTCTTGGTGAATTGTGTCCTTTACCAGTATAAAAGGGTCTGCTCTGATTAGCTTTGTTTGAAGTCAAATTTATATAGTTACTCCTGTTGGCTTTTGGACTCCAGCAGCAGGGAGCATCATTTTCTGTCATTTCCTTTCATTCCAAGTATGTCTTGGTAAATGAGATGTGTCTCTTGAAGGCAACATACAGATTGGTCTTGTTTTTTGATCCAAGCTATGTCTGTATCTTTTAATTGGAGAATTAAAACCATTTATATGAAGTGTTATTGTTGAAAGGTATGTACTAATTCCTGACACTTTGTTGTTTTTGTACTGTTTAATTCATTTCTGTTTCTTGTTTATTTAATTACTCTCCCAGTTACATTCATTTTTTTCTCTTGGAACCTATATTTGTGTTCACTGTTACTGTTTAGAGTCCCTTAAGTAATTCCTGCAATGCTCATTTAGTGGCCATGAATTTCTTTATTCTTTTCTTGGAAGATCCTTTGATTTTGAAGAATAACCTTGCAGAATATCTACTTTGGCAGTTAATATCTTTGAGGACCTGAAAAACTTAACTTCATTCCAAGCCTTCCCAGCCTTTAAAGATTTTTGTTTCCTTGTCTGCTGTTAGTCTCATGAATTTGTCCTTATAAGTGATTTGATGCTTCTTTCTAGCAGCTTTTAATATTCTTTTTTTATTCTGAGTTTCTGGCATTTTGACTATGATGTGTCATGGACAGGTACGTTTCTGGTTGTCTCTATTTTGAGTTTAAATACCTCCTTTACTAGGGTATCCATCTCACTTCCCAGATTCAGGAAATTCTCTGTAATATTTTCAGTGAACAGACTTTTATGCCATTAGCTTGTACTTTGACACGCTTCTCAAGAGAAGTGGTTCTTAAATTTGTTCTTTTAGAGTTGTGTAGAAACTCTTGGATAATTGATTCATTTTTTTCATTACTACTGACTGAATGTTGTGTTATGTATATTCAACATGTCTTCAAGTCCTGATAATCTTTCTTCTGATTCATCTTGCCAACTGCTGAGACATTCTCTTGAGGATTTGGGGTTTTTTTATGACTTACTGAGGTCTTCTTTCTGCCTTGTTGTTTTTCTTACCCTCTCTTTGTTTACTGCAGTGGTCTTTTATATCCTGCATTGTCAACCTTAGTTCATTCAGCTGCTTATTTATATCTTCTTTAAACCCAGTAAACATTGTTCCTGTCAGCTTTTTAAAAATTTTGTCTGGAATATCATTCACTTCAATATCTGTGAGATCAACTTTGGAGGAGTTGAGAGTTTTTGTAGGTATATTGTTGCCTTATTTTCTCCTTAAATTTGTGATTCTGTGTTGAGATTTGTGGATCACATAGTGAGAATGACTCTTCCACTGTTGTGTGGGGTCATTTTGCCGAGCGGCTTTCTTTCGGGGATGTGTCCAGGGCTGTAGGTGTGTCTTCATGAGAGAATTTGCTTCTCGTATGTTCAGAATGCTGAAATCAGTCCCTATGTTGTTTTGAGAGGAAAGAGTTAACTACCAGTACCATCAACAGTTGAAAAGCTAACCATATATAATACCAGCTGATAAAAAACTTGTTTTAAGAGATGTACTAATTTTAAAAGTTAACATAAAAAAGAGAGATTTTTTACTATTACACTGTCCTGGGAAAAAAACAAGGACAATCTTAAATATAATTGGCTAGAAAAAAAATTAAACCTTAGTGATATTTAGGTTAATTATATATGATATATTCAGAAATGCATAATATATTTAGAAATACATTCTGCATTGAAAATAATTACAAATATATATTTCTAGAAAAAGATAAACAAGAAAAGTTGAGAGACAAAGAAAGTTATGTGGAGAGGGGGTGCCTAGTAAGCAGGGGAACAGAAATGGAGCTGAGAGAAGAGAGGGTGATTGTATCCACTTGTTGGACTCACAGAGATGTCTGTAAAGCGATCACTGATGTGGGACTATGACCCTGTGGAACATTTGAGGAGAGCAGAAAACAGATTCATACAGTTATCCTCACAGGTACATACGGTATGTAAGAAGACCACACTAATTACATGAACCAAAATACAGAACAAGATAAGAGTCCAGTTGTCCTGCTGCACTATTAGGATGAGTGTCTCAGGCTGCTTTGCCTATGTTGCTGCCTTTGGACCTTCATGTTCAAAGTCCTTGTGGCTACAGGGTTTCTGCCAGTGGGTGCTCTGTGGCTCCCTGCAGCAGGTCCCAGCTCAAGGCCCCCAAGCTCCTCCTGCCCAGTCCTTGCACCTGGCTCCTCCCTGCCTGCTCTCTCTGGCTCACAGCTGTGCTGCTGCTTGCCCAGACTCTTCAGATGGCCAGTCCAGTGGCATCCAGGATCGGGAAGGACATAGCCCCAGCTACCACCAAGCTGGCAAACCAAGGCTGAACCTTCTGATTTTCCCACTCCCGGCATTTGATGTTTCTGGCTCTACCACAGCTCACTCTGGTCTGCCTCTGGCCCCGGATTCCATGTGCCTGCTTGGCTGTCCCTTCTGTCTCTCTCCACCCCCAGGGATGGTGTTTCTAACCCAGCTGCTGCTGCCCTCCAGGTCTCTCTCTGTCTCACCATCCCCATGGTGCCCAGGTCTTGGGACGCTTCCCCTGATGAATATTTCAGACTCAAGGCCTCACGTCCCAGAAGGAGAATTGCTCAGCCAGTCCTGAGGGTGGTGGTGTTTCTGCCGGACACTGATCGTCCGCTGCCTCCTCAGCTTCCTCTCCTGGAGGACTTTGTGCTCTCTCGTGATGGTGCACTCTCTAGGCCAGAGCTGCAGACAGTGCAAGGGTAGAGCAGAAGTTCATGTCTTTCCCCAACCGTCCAAGCATCTCTCTCCACACTTCTTTGGCCCTCACCTCCGTGGACCTGCATTCGGATGGTGGGTCCCCCCACCACACTGCCCAGCTGCTTTGGTGCCGGCTGGGTGGGTATCTCAGGGGGACCTGTGTCTGCTGTAATCTCTGCTCCACCAGCAAGGATCTCTTTCCTGAAGAAGAACAGTCCTTTCAGATGAGCAACAGTGTCGCCTCAGGGTCATCAGTGTGCAGCTTTTTTACTCTTTTACTGGTTTGTCATCGGAGGTGTTGCAGTGGACACAGATGAAGAGACACACAGGACGAGGAAGGCATCAAAGGGCCTCCTCCTGTGTGCTTCCTGCAGTTTACTTTTATATTAGTTTATTTCATTGGATTTCTCATTTTTATCTGTCTTGCTCTTTGCTTGTGTTTTCCTGTTACATTTATTAAAGTCTTTTCTCCACTTCTCATTCCATTTGACTTCTACCAATTAGGAAATCATAACTTTATTTCTCTTTCTTTAGTTGCTACCTTATAAATTTTAACATACCTTTTAAATTTAGAAACCATACCTTACTTAATTCTAAAAGTCAATCAGACGCGTTACCTTCTTCCCAAACATGGGGAAAATCGGAGAATGTTTTAAACTAAGTATGTTTCTCCTGATAGATGTGCTTTTGTTGTTCAGAAGTTTAGCTCTGCACTGAGTTTTTTAATCCAATGATTATCCATTTTAGGGTTGTTTTATGTAGTCAGTGTTTTGTTTTGTTTTGTTTTGTTTCAGCTTTAATTGAATTTATTGGTACATTTTAGGGATACAGTACAGTTACATTCATTGTTGGAATCTTGTTCCTCTACATGACAAGTCTTGATTCTCATTTTTTCCCCTTACCCCTGCCCTCCCTTCACCCCCTTGTAGTCAGTGTTTTTACATTTAACCACCTATTTTCCTTTTTTATGTTTTTCAGTTTTAGTTATTCCTTCTTGCTGTGTAGGTAGATCTCATTGTTAGGACAGTTTTTCTTCTTACTAAGTAAATATCTTTTGGCAGCTACTCTAGTGAAAGTCTCTTGATAGTAAGTTCGGTTTGTCTTTTGTTTAAAATGTTATTATTTTGTTCTTTTTGTTAAAAGATAACTAAATATGATTGTTTAGTCTGAATACTTGAGAGATAACAGCTCACAAATCATGCTTTAACTGTGGATCACTTAGTGTTAGGGTAATTAGTTCTTCCATCTCTTCCGGCCTTTATCATTTTTATGTGTCATGGCATTCACACTCTTACTGTTACTTGTAAGCATTTATGAATTGTTGCAGACTATACCAAGCCTATGGTGCTGTAGAACCCCTGGAACAAATTCCTCTGGCTCCTTAAATGTTCTGTCTTTGAAGTTAATCTCTCTTTTCTGGTCACTTTTAAGATTTACCACCTCCTGTATTCTGCACCTTCATATCAGCCATATCTTGTTTAGAACTTTTTGAGCTTGATCAGCCTAAATATGACCTTCACAAAAATCCTGAAATTCCTTAGTCACCTCATCCTCTTTTTCTCTACTGTCTTTTCCGAGTATTCCCAAACCACCATCTTGCTCTTCCCTCCGTGCCATTGAAGCAGTCTTCTGTCTTCTCTTGTCTTGTCTTTCTTGCTGCATTCTTCTAATTTCCGTGAATCTTCTGATGCACTGTGAACTTTCTCCAGCTGTTTAATCTGTTCATCTACTTAGTTCTGTCTGATGCTCTCACATCATCATTGTGCTTTCACATCCTCCATTTAGTTCCTTAAATATATAAAATGCAGTCATTTCTCATTTTCCATTTTATATCTCTAATATCTGCATCGTTTGCAAGTCTGATTCTTTGCTCTGAGGTAGCCTATCACTAAGTTCAAATATTTCATTATATATTCAGTGATTCTTTTTGTTTGTTTGGTACCGGGGATCAAACTCGGATCCTTGCACTTCCAAAGCAAGCGGCGGAACCACTGAGCTAACTCCCCAGCAGTGAATCTTTGTAAAGATCCCATGTTCACTGGAACTTGCTTGGTAAGATAAGAGCCTAAATGTAAAGTTCATATCTTTAGAAGAAATGTACCTACTTAGCACTCAGGGACAAGACCAAAATATAATAGATATTCAATAGATATATTTAAAATGCATGAAGGTGTCGTAGACTCCATATTCACTCCAGGATCCGAGTCTCCTCGTGCTATGAAGTGAAAATTTGAGACTGACTTGACGTCCATATACTTTGAGTTGTTGTTCTCTTTAGGAGCTCTAAGAATAGTGTAACATGATCCCCTCTTTAGGCTTCATCTGTTGTCTTGGGCCATCTCACACGAGGGATCTCTTCTTACATGACTTCTGGGACACCTCCGTAAGTCAGCCCAAACACCCTTAACACAGTGTCCTACCTGTCTGTTTCCATCACACCTGAGGTTTACCCCAACATAATTTTTCACCGTGTATTTAGGTTTGTGTTTCAATATTAAAGTACAGGTAACCTAGACTCTGTTGCAACAGCTTGCTTTAGCGTCTCCTGCATTTACTCTGGTGTCTGGCTGATAGTAGGTATCAATAAATAGTTTTCCATGAGTAAATGAAATAAGTTTCAAAATATGCATTTAAGCCTCAGATATTTTTACCTTCAATTTGTGGGCCTTTCTCTTTTACATCAGAGCTCTCCAAAACCTCTGTTTGTGCTTCCATTCCCAAGGTCCAGTTCAGAGTTGGTCATTTAAGTTTACTCTTCTCAAATCACTTCCTTCAGAGACGAAGAAAGAACCTTTGCCAGAGAGAAAGAACTTTAGCACACAAATGTTTTAAGACTCTAAACAGTTGTATTGCTTTTGAAATGTGAAATGTCACTAGCAAATGAAAAATGGGATAACCATGACCATTTGCACTTTTACTCTAATTAGCTATTGATTGTTTGTTGTGTTCTAATTTATTGAAGAATTAAAGCCATTTTATAATCATTCTTCACTTTGTTTTCACTCATAGTGGAATCCTGAAAGAGCCATTAAAGTGCTACTTTAATTTCTTTGCCCCTTTGTGGACGCCCTGACTCATATGCAAAAGTCCACCCAGACCGAGATGTGTTGTTTATGAAAGTTAGACTCCCCTGAGATTGCTCACCTCTCAGGATTTCCCCATCCAAGGGGGCTCCCTGCCTCCGCAGGGATTTAGTAGCCTCTCATTTTCTCTTTGATTATCTGCATATACTTTGGAAAATATGTGTTAAATAGAATGAAGAAAAAGGCTGATAGCAGAATGAGAAAGGCATGACCCTGATCTTCAAAGGTTTTTCATCTAGAAAGGGAAGACACAAATTATCACATAGATTTGCCGCTTCATCTGCGGGTGTAACTGTTCTTTGTTGCTCAGAGTTATTTGCCAGACCCGCAGTATTGATTATGCCCAAGACGTGCTGTGAGCAGTCAGGCTGCAGAGTTAACTCCCCCGATCTGCTCGCTGTAAGAAGCGAGTCTGAAGCCCCATGACTCACCGAGGGGCCTCATGAGCACTGCGGCAGTGCACAGGTCAGCGTGACCTCCCTGCTGCTGGCCAGGCTGACACCAGAGTGACGGCCTGTGAGGCTGTGGGGCTGACAGGAGATGACGTCATAGCCGAGGACGGGGCACTGCCCCCAAATTCCATTCCCACAGTCATTGCCTTCGCAGCTGGAAGGACAGTGCTGCAATTACAACCATGTATTTTGTCTGTCTTGCTTCTAATTTGAAAACGCTTTGACTCTTCTCTTATAGCCTTGCCTGCACTGGTTTCCACGGTAATTTCACGTACTGCACTTCTGTACACGTATTGCACCGCTGATTGATGAGTAATAATGTGATGAAAGAGGTGGGCCAGGGCCTTTTGCCAAAGGACCCTTGGCCTTTCCAGTTCACACTTTCCCTTTAACTCTGTCTTAAGTTGTTCTTCAGCCTTGCATCAGGCACTGGGCAGGTTAAGGTTAGGGTCTCACTGCAGGGGTCTCTGGCTGTCACTAAGCTTGATTATGTTCAAACAGCTTCACGTCTCACAAGTACACAGTTTCCTCACATTTAAGTCCACACCGTAATTACAGTACTACTAAGAATGGAAAGGACACTCCTTAAAAAGTAATAACTCAGTCTTGATTGTAAGAGAGACTCAGAAATATCAAAGATGTCAGTATGTGACCAATAGGGGAATTAGAGTAAACAAAAGAGGTGAACTTAGTCTGTCCTCTTAGCAACTCTTCCAGTTAAGTAACATTATTCCCACTTTCCAGGCAAGTAAACTGATGGATTCAGAGATGTTAGGTGACTTGCACAGGATTGCATAGCTAGTAAATAGATGAGCCACACTGAATTCACACAGTCTGATTCCAAAGATCTTCCTTACAGCCTCTTTACCAGGGAGGCTGACTTCTATGATAGCACGTCTGGGGGTTGCTACGCCTATCAGTCCTCATTTATGTGACTTCAATTAACGCTGAACAAGAACCTCTGTGAATTCTGGACAGCATTTGAGAATATAGTTGCAATGAGAAACAATTTTAAAAAGCAAGCTGTTTTGAAAAATTATTAACCTGAACATTGTTTTAATCAGTCTGTTAGTAAATTGTACCTAAATCAATGATGAAATAGGTGTTTTTTTTTTAATCTATGAATCTCTAACTAGCCATATCACATATAAATGTAAATGTAATAGTGTTAACAGAATGGTGGAAACTGGAAATAAATGTAAATTAACTTTTACTGTGAATATAGATGTCTGTTTTCCTATTCTTTTAGAAAGAAAATTTGAAGTTAATGGAAAATAGCAGTCAAAGTATCTGTTAAAGTTCTCTTGGAGATTTTATAAAAAGAAGAAACATTTCTGTATAGGATGTGTAAAATTAATTCTAACATTACATGAAATCTTGCGGATAATCTTTATAAAGAGCCCAAAATGACTAACTCAAAGGAAGAAAATTCATGTTTCGCTTTATGTAACAAGTAGCACGATCTATTTTTAAAAACCTAATGAGTTAAGAAATAACCATGTGTTACATTGTTTTCCCATATAAATAATGAATTACACGTAAGAACAAGTGGTAGTTAAATATACCCAGGGCCAATTGCATAGTTCTGGATATCAGACTTCATCTGTGGAAATTCAGCAAAACAGAATTAGAAGTGTCAAACAGAAAAGATCTCATTAAGATAATTCTTCCAGAAATGAATCAAAATTTCTATCCCAGCTGTTCAGATCTTGTGGTAGCTGAGTTGGACAGGGCTAAAAAAATTAAATTTGTTGTTTTTCAAAGTGTGGTACTGCAAACACCTACATCAAAATATGCAGATCGCTGGTGTGCTTGCTAACACTGCAGGCCATTTTCACCCCTTTTCAAGAGCTGCCATGTGAGGCCCTGTGTGAACAGAGCTCAGAAACTTCTGTTTATAAGAGCTTTTCCATCCACCAGTGGTTACGACCATGTTGGATTTGAGAGTTGTTGTTTTAGCACTTGGCTCTTCTGTATCTACTATTTTGAACTAATGAAAAAAATGAAGCAAACACTAATGATTTTTTTCAGCAAATATCAGACATTAAATGCCTCATTTACTAGATATTTGTGAAGCAGTGCAGCGGAACTGAAAAGAAATGTAAGCTTAAGCATGCCGATGTGTTGCAATGCTGTTTAACGTGGTGAAATGGAAGTAATATTTTCTGAAGGCTAACAGGATTGCAGGAGAAGGGAATTGAGGTAATCCCGAGTGGATGCGGAGACAAGTCTAGAAGTTATTTCTAGGAAAAAGAAATCAGTTGCATTCAGTTGCAAATTGAATGTAAAGGGTAAACAGTAGTGGAAAAGAAGACTACTTTGGGTTTTGCATCTTGGTAGCAAAAAATAATGATGAACTCACATGGGGATGGAGTATGAAAACCACAATGAAAAGTGCTAAGAATAGGAAAGTGAGTCCTTTATAGCTGGCTCATTTACCGTTACATTTATAAAAATGGTAACTGGAATTTTGACTGAATTTAAATTGACTTATGAATGGATTTAACCAAATTGTGATCTATTTCCTATCACAGCAACTGTTCAACTGTCAAGCTCTACGAAAACTAAGTATTCCCGATAATGACCTTTCAAGCCTGCCAGCCTCCATCGCTAGTTTAGTTAATCTTAAAGAACTCGACATCAGCAAAAATGGTAAGATTCTCATCTTATCTCTGAATATCTTGATTAGTTTTTACTCAAAATCTGTTTTAATGTTTTTGCTTGGGAAATGATTTTAAAATAACTTTTTCTTTGATTTTGTTCAAACTGTAAATTAATTTCATCAAAAAGTTAAATTATGACTGAAGGACAGGGACTCTCGCTCCTCTTAAACATACACCTGCCTCAGCCTCACGTTCCCCATGGTCTACTCTATCTTGTTTATCTCCTGTTTTTACATGGCCCGTTCTCCTCATTTGCATAGTATTTCCAACAGATCTCAACTGTCACCTGTGTGACAAAAGCCTACCTGTTCGCCTTGCCTGAAATTACGCTCTCAGTTTCTCTTACTGGGCTCCATTTTCCCCTGGCATGAACCTCCTCAGAATAATGTGTAGTTTACTTACCAGGATGTTGTATATCTTCTCTTGACCCAGAATGTAAACTTTGACACATGACAAGGGGGGATTTATCCCAGACAACTCAAGCCAATTCTGGTAAACAATCAGGGATTCATAGCATTTATTGAATTTGGGACCCAAATTTATGCATCTGATGTTTTTGTTGATGCTGATGACAGTGAGATTCATATTGAAGGCATTTCCTTCGGTGTTTGTGGGAGGGAGGTCTCCTGCGTCCTCCTTATTTCTTTAGGTCTGTGTTGCTTTCCAGGTGACCTCGGGTCTGCATTTGATTCAACTTTGTGGACAGGCGTGGCTCTGGTTACCTCAGTCAGCATGCTCCGTGCCAAGAGGGTGGGCATGATCTAAGCAAGCGCTTCTTGCTTTCTGATAAGTGATTCAGCCACTGAAAAATAATTACAGATAATTAACCAGTGTGAAGGGCGTGTATATGAGAAAGATACAACGTATTCTACAGGGTTAAGGAAGATTCCCCAAAAAGTGATAACTGAGCTCAGGGAGAATCAGTGGGCATGAGAAGGTCGGTGACGTTGGCTTGGTACTCTAGGTCAAGTTCCGATTTGTTAAAGGACCCCCTTGGTCATGAATAGATGTGGCATCCATAAGGAACCCACTGCCTTTCGGAGTGTCATGACACAGCCCTGCCTCTTCATTCTGCCAGAAGTGACCCCCGCAGAGGTCCGCCTTGTTCATTCTCTTACCGCCTTTGGGACTGACCGCATCTGCCCTCCAGGCCTCCCTGTGGGAAAGTACAGTGCTGCTGTTACCGACCGAAAGGACATTGTAGCCTTGTTTTTATTTTCACGTGAGAAACTGACATGCCGTATATTGAAGTTATTTGTTATCTGTATGTACTTTACTAGAGTTAAAATTCAGAGATGTTCCAAAGTTTTTGTTATCGTTGCTTTGTTTACTACTCTGTTTCCATTGCCTCAAAAGAATGAGGCACTTTGTAGGAGATCAGTGAATATTCATCAAAAGAATGACTGGTTGTCACCAAAAAGTTCACAGTGGCTCTGGGAGATAAGACTGACACCCACACATAATCAGTGATATCATAAAATACTACCCAACGAAGTGCTTAATTACATGGCACAAATTACAGTCGTGAGTCCTTAGAGAACGGGAAGATTAATTAAGACTGCTATATTATTGGAAGAGTTCAAGTGGAAGATACTGTCTGCAGATTCCCTTGAAGCACAGTGGCATCTGAATAAAGGAGAGCATTTGTTTGAAAAGGATAAGATCATAAACAAGGAACAGAAGCATCTGGCTATAGCAGCTTACCTTTCTGCTCAGTATTTTCAAGGTAATTTTAGAAGAACCCTATGCAGATAGTGACAGAGAATAGCAATTAGACTTAAATCCACCTAAAGATGACCTTGAATCTACTATTATTCTTTAAGAATAGATTTCAGATGACATTTTTGTATGTGTTTGTATGTGTGCACACACACACACACATATATGTACTGCTCTTTATATATTCCTATGTGTGCATATATCAAATGGTACTGTGAAATTACAATTTCTAAGAAATAACATATGACCAAGTACCACATCTATTGACCTTCAGACGGGTTTAGCTAGAAAGTCCAAGTAAATAAAAAATTGTCTTTTGTTTGGAGATCAGGTAATAATTCCTGGTGGCCCTATTATGTCAAGCAGTCTTTGTTTCCAGAATGTGAAACGCACTGTTCTGCATATCTGAAGTAAATCTCTGAAATTAGTATTCAGTGGTTTTAAGCTTTTCTTGTTTTTCATTTTCAAAGAGATGGCATGGGATGGTGAAACACACTGCAGCACTAGTTCAGCAGTAAAGGCTAATATATCAGTTCGCTGTATCAGCCGTTGCTAGAAATTGCTCACCTGGTGAAAGATCTCATCACATTGGCCCCTTCAGAAAATCAGAGCTCGAACAGCTGTCACCGAATTCTGTGACAGAGAGCTGGGCAGTTACGTGACGAGGATGATACATCTTTGGGGAATCTGTCAGGGGAAGAAAGAACAGACAGCAGGAAACAGGAGTAGCTTCAGCAGCCCAGCTGGCCAGGCTGGTATGCTCTTGGTGGAAAAGAGGCAAAAGCAGGATGGGTATTTAATGAGAGAGCACAGAGTGTTTGTCTTGAGATAGAGACCCGTGGAAGTACTAGGCAACCTAAGTAAACGTGGACTGAGATCCGCTTGAATTAGCAGGATGCCCTTTAATGAACGGATTTCACGTAAGGGCTGAGGTCAAGTCTGACTGGTTTTGCGGGTCACCTCCAGTCTTTACTTCTCACGTCCAGTTCTTCTGCGTCGTCATGTTCACCACTTCCTCTATATAATTTACAATGCTGTTTGATAGTAAAGCTCGAAGAAGGTAATCGGTATAACTTCATGTGGTGAGTGAGGCCTGCGTGCAGGAAGGTGTCGGCGCAGTCCGAGGGGTAGCTTTCATCTAAGCTGCAGCCGCTGCTCAGGCTGGCTGTCTGCCTTCCATTCCCAAATGACCATTCCCAGAGGAATGGGGCCGACCCCTCTTCCCCAGGATGCGCCTTCCTCCCCGCTGCACTGCAGCACCTGGACACGGTCCTCTGCACCGTTAGAAAAGATACTTCCTTTATGAGTCAGATGAAGAGAGTAATTAATCAGTTACTTATGAAAAGGAGATATCATTTACCCTGGGAAACTTCTCTGACACTTCCACAGAGAGAATTATTTTTTGTCCCCTTCTTTGTGATACCTGTTTACTCTGTTTTGGGTTTTGAACTTATCTCCCTTGCAGTTTCTGTGTAGGTGGCTCAACTATGAGACTTGAGTCAGGGGCTCTCTGCACCATTTCTATCTGCAGAGCTATTTGCACCATGGTCAGGATACATGGTAGATGCCCAGTAACTGGCAGGTAAATAGCATTACACAGAAGTATTCTGTTAAAAAGTATATAATGATGGTATTTGTATTATAATACATAAGAGACCCCACAGAAGATAGGGTGCTCATCTGTTACCCTGGAAGCCATCTAAATACTTGACAGCAATGCTGGAAAAGATAGAGGCAGCATGAAAATAAGTAACGAGTAAGCACTGAAGTCATCTCTAATCTGCCACAGAGTAGTAGACTCAGTGTCTTTGTTCTCTGAGCTAATGCAACTTCATGTCAAGTTTGGCCCCTTCCTTTAGCTCCAGACCAACTACTCTGCATGTTAGCACACCTACGGGGTGGCCAAGCAGAGCATGTTTACATCCAAACTCGTCACCTACCCAACCCACCCACCTCCGTTTCCAGTTCTCTGTTAACATTGCTATGATCAGCATAGGCGTTCGGTGCAAAAGTCCTTTTCTCTTCCAACGCCTCTGTCCATTCTGTCACCGCTTCTTGACAGATTTACCACCTAACTATATCACGAGTCTGTTTCTTTATACCATTTCCATGGTTATCGTCTATATTATTGTCCCCTCGTCTTTCCTCTGCCACGTAAACAGCATTCTCCTTGGTCTCCTTGACTCCATTATGGCACCACCAAACCCATCCTCTACAAGACAGCCACTGAGCTCTTTTCAAATCACTGGTATGGCTGTGTGACTTTCCACTTTCAGGTAGTTCAGCCGGTCTGTGATAGTGTTGGCTTCCTAACTCATCCCTCAAAGTCTCCACAACTACCGCTCCCGACACCCCTACTCCAACACCAATCCCACTGAGAATGACTGATCTTTAAATTTAGAGTTGAGATACTGAAAAGCGTCCTCAAATAATGTAATACTGTTTCATGATCAGTTTTATTCTACTCTACTCGTGTTATTTCCTCTGCATAAGTCACCTTTCACACCTCATGTTAGGTTCAAGTGTCTTTGTTTGCATGAAGCCTCTGCACTTGCACATTAATTCCATGGTCCAGCCTCTGGACTAATGTGCCTTGCGTATTCATTCTAATTTCATCATTATATTGAAAGCTCTTAGAACATATTTATATTAAAATATGTGTGGTTTTAATGTTTAAACTATTTTTATTTTAAGCATGAAGAAAATAATAGAGACAGCAATGTGCCTATCCTGGAGATAAAAGTGTTAACATTTAGTATAGATGTCACACTCTTTTTTAAATAAATAAGACATTACAGAAACTCATGAATGCTTATACTCACCCCTTACCATGTTCTCTCTCTCTCTCTCTCTCTCTCTGAGTTAGTGTTTAAAATTTCAGCAAAGTGCTAACACATTACATAAATTATTCTGTAAGTCTTGCATTTCACATTGTCCTTCTGAAGTTTGTCCTTGATTACCTGTAGAAGTACTGGCTCACATAGTTCTATATTCTTACCTGCAGTCATTAGATGTACTAAGTGATGGCCCATTAGGTAGATGGATAAGGCTAACTTGATCCTTTTTATTTTTCTAAACACTAGGTTAACATTTTGTTAAATTTTTATTGGACAATGTAGGGCATCTCTCTCTCTCTCTCTCTCTCTCTCTCTCAAAACTGTCTTTTCCAGTCTATATCTTTGAATTGTTTGCCACTGAGATTCTTAGTTATTTGAAAGATTTATATACTCTGAACACAGGTCCTCTAATTTGTGGCATGTCTTTTCACTT